TGCTGACACAATTCTAGTTGAAATCTTATACGTATTCTTTGTGCTTTTTATACTCTACACCACAAGGTGGTCAGGGTATTATGTCTTTGTGCATTTGTTTGTAACAGGCAAAAGGAAACGAGATAGACTCATAGTTCCTTTTGATGATCTGCATAGAATCACTTTCTGAGTTGATTTATGCATGTCAGTCCATTTGTCCGTCCGTCCGTCTGTCCATGTCTTCTTGTGAACAAAATGCAGGTCGCATTTATTATCCGATTGAGATGAAATTTTGCAAAAAACATTTGTTTGGCCCAAGGACGAACCCTATTGAAATTGGAGATAATCGGTAAAAATTTAGATATAGCTCCCATATATATCTTCGTCCGATTTGTCTTTTATTGTGCACCAAACGTGTAATATCAGCCCGAATAGTATGGAATTTTGCACATACGACCAACTTAGGCCTGAAAATAAGTGTGCCAAGTTTTATCGAAATCGGTTCAGATATAGCTATAGCTCCCATATATATTGTTCATCCGATTTGTTGTATTTGTTACCCACAGCCGTAATATGCACTCTGTAACAACAATATTTGGGGAAATATATCAAATGCAGCTCAGAAATACCTTTGCTAAATTTTATCGAGATCGGTTCAGATTTGGATATAGCTCCCATATATAACTTCGTCCGATTTACCATTTATTGTGCACCAAACGTCTAATATTTGTCCAAATGGGATGGAATTTGGCACATACGACCGAATTTAGTCTAGAAGGTAGTATGCCAAATTTGGTGAAGATCGGTTCAGATATAGCTATAGCTTCCATATATATTGTTCATCCGATTTATTGTATTTGTTACCCACAGCCGTAATATGCACTCCGTAACAACGATATTCAGGGAAATAAATCAAATACAGCTCAGAAATATCTTCACTAAATTTTATCGAGATCGGTTTAGATTTGGATATAGTTCCCATATATATTTTTATCCGATTTCACATTAATTTCGCACCAAATGGGCTATACAAGTCCGAATTTAAAAGATGCAAATGCTTCGGCATATTTAGTCCTTTCAATTTTAAATTATAATTATAATCATAGCGTGTATGATTGAATTCTCCCATAAAAACTTTTAATTATTAAGTGGAGCTCAACTAAATTAGCAAAGTGGTGTAGGGTATCATAAAATCGGCCCCGCCCGACTTTAGGACTTTCCTTACTGGTTTTTGTCTGGAAACATCTCAAAAATAATCTTTATATCATCTCATTCGACATTCCTAAAATTGTTTTATTTCTTTGCATCTTTGAAGTGTTTGTGGTTATTGATTCTATTTTCCGCTGTTTGACAAATTCAAATACCTTTGAATGAATGGAATTATGGAATTTCGTTTCCGTTTAATTGTTGTGTGTCATAATGCAGAGAACGGAAATTTGCATAGTTTCTTTTTATTTCTGTGAATAGCCATATTTCTTTTTTGGATGATTTCGAAATTTCTTATTGAGAATAAATTTTTAAAAAAGAAATAATGATGATGGATATTTGATGTCAGAAGTTTTATGATTTTTTCTTCGTGAATTTGCATTTAAAAGTCTAACAACAATTTTGAAAGAAAAAAAAGATAATGTGAAGGCAATGTGGAGATTATATTTGGGTCAAGGTAAATTGTTCAAAATGCATAAATAATGAAAAACAAAAAAAATTGTAGTAATGAATTCCAAATTATGCACAATGGAATAAAAGTAAAATAAATTTGCAAATGAAAGACATTTCTTTTGTATACATTACGTCACAATGAGACAAGTATTATCAGAAATCGATAAGATAACATCGATATTGCGATTAAATTAAACGTCATTGAGAGGGAAATAAATAAACTTTCAAAGAAAGAGGACGCTTATACAATTTTGCAGTATCTGTGGAATTTTACCAGCAACGTGAATAATATTTTAATGTTTGGGTAACTTATTTCTATTTCAAATTGGAATTTTTATCAGAAAATCCAAATTGGTGCATGGATATATCTATGCCATAGCATAAACAGAAAATGCGGATACTTAAGGTCAGATAAAACATCAAAAGGGGTGTTTGCACATTTTTCTTTAGAATAAATAACATCCGTTTTAAAATGATCCCTAACTCATTGTTTACAATTCTAATCATTTTACTACAATCAATATTAAATTTGGTACCATTTAATAAATACTTTTAATAATTTTCAAAGTTCGCCTCATTTCAATTCTATTCCTATATTATATGCTAAATATGATACCATTTACTCTTATTGTACACATTTCCTGAAATACCACTCTTAATTCCAATATTCCAAATTGTCCCAAATTTAAAAAGTCAAACGTCGTATTTATACCCTACAACACTATGTGTTGGGGGTATTATAAGTTTGATTGGGCCAAAAATTATGTAACACCTCGAAATATTGGTTTCCCACATAGGAAAATATATATGGATCTTCCTGTCTCGCCGAGCTGTCCGTCCGTCTGTTCATGTTAATTTGTAATCACTCTACAGGTCGCAATTATGGTCCGATCTTCACAAAATTTAGAATATCACATGAAATGGACCAAAAACTGAAAAATTGCCTGGTTTTGCAGTTGCTCTACAGATCACAATTATAGACCAATCGAAGCGAAAGTTAGTATGGTGCTAGAGCTTTAGGCTGGTCAGAAGCCTTTCAATTTTGATGGTCATCGGGTAATATTTAGTGGGTGAAATAGGCCACAACATTTGTGTTAAATAGAAGTCAAATTTTCCATTAAACCGCGAATATTTTTAATTCCGGCGAAATAACAAATAGACGAACATGTCAATTCTGACCGTTACGTAGATGTCGATAATAAATATATCGGTTATATATAGCGAAATATATACAATGTGTATATACAAAGGAAGGGGATGTTAGTTAGAATGCTTATATCTCAAGAATGGCTGGAGCGATTTTGACAAACCTTGTCAATTCAGAATGCCCTCTTGGCATAAGGGAAAAAATCTAAAAAAATCGCAGAAAAATATGCCACTAATGATGTTAATATAGATTTTGTAGTATTTTGTGACATTTTTTTTAAATATTTTTTATCGCATGCGATTTTTTCAATTTATAATATTGAAATGTACATTTTGTAATATTTTTTCACCTTGCAACATAGGTTAGGGATATTATATAAGTATTGCAAATATCGTCCGATCATCACGAAAAATTTCCCAAGGGTAGGGTTGGGCTCAGAAGGACTAGGCCTATTGTTTTCAAAGATGTCCGTAACATATTAGAGGGTTGAAATGGACCAACAACTAAACATTTTCCTGATTTCGCAGCCGTTATAAAGGTCACAAATAAATACCAAAGGACACGATATCTCGCATAAAGTTAGAGTTAGGACAGCGTGTATAATGGACCAGTAATTTTGTGTGAAAAAGTACCAGCATTACTTACAGGCGATATCCGAAATACACAAAAGGCGAATTTCTGATAGATGAGTCTAAATTTGAAGATACAGAGGGGCTTCATGCTTTTGGAGATGATTGCAAAATATTTAGGGGTTCAAATTAATCAAAATCAGAAATGTTTTTCCGATCACACAATTGAAGTCAATCGACATGCCTGTGAAGACAGTTAAGGACAGTGAAGAATTCTAGCATTTTGGATGACTATTGGATTATATTTATCTGTAAAATGGACTACAACAACTAACAGCCCGACGGAGTGCATAAATGTTGGGCAAATGTCCCTAGTCAAAATCCTAATTTCAAAAGCGAAATCTTCCAATATGGATTTGGACATAAGGGGGCTTCTAACATATTGTAGTGTTGTAGGGTATAACATAGTCGCCCCGCACGACTATAGCCTTTTCTTACTTGTTTTAAATTTAAATTTAAATGTCGGAAATAGCATCAGATTTTAGAATAAGTTTAGATTTGTTCGAATTCGTCACCTATGGCACGATTTATGGCCTTCAAACTGCCAATGAAAACGTCACACGCTGCCCGAATGTTGCTCTGCGGTATTTTGGCCCATTTCCGGCGTAGTGCTTGCTTGAGGTGATCGAAACTTTGGTATTTTTTAGTGGCAAACTTGCTTTCCAAAATACTCCAGACACGATAGTCCAACGGATTGCTAACCGGAGATAAGAAGCGAGGAACCTAATTTTGTAATCATTCTTGGGTGGCGCGTGCTGAGTGCGATGGTGCTGAGTCCTCCATGGCTAGCGCTTAAGTTCTGGTGGCCAACCGAAAGTGCACATTTTCAGCTGACCTCTTTGGCAAGAAACACCATAATTTTGTTTGTTTACAAACTGCTGGACAACGAATGTTTTCTCATCGGAGAAAACTAAATTTGACAGTGTACCACTTTCGGCCAAGCGAAGCAACTCTTTAGCTCTTTTGAGTTTATTTTCTTTCTGTTGCGGTGTAAGTTCGTGAACTTTTTAGAATTTCAATGGCTTTACGCAGAGCTCATTTTTCAATATTTGTCGAATGAAATATTGCGATATGTTCAGCTCACGAGCCATTTTTCGACCACTGCCACGGGTTTCGATCAAGTCGCTTCTTTATTTTTCGAACCATCTCTGCTGATGTTGCTGTTTTCTTCCGTCCACTTCCTTGATGTCGGGCTACGCTACCAGTAACGCTATCACCGTAATGAATGATGGTACGAGACACAAAAGATTTATTCACATTTAAATGCTGAAGTGCTCTAACGATAGCCACTTGTAGTTTTCCAGCCAAATATAAAGAAATTACACTATCACGCTTGAATTCCATCACAAATAACTTTTTTTCTGGAAAATTCTCACAAAAATGCTTTTGTACGCTTGTTATACAATATAATGAGCTGTCACTGGAATAATGTTAACAGGTGTCGGCCGAGTGTCTTATAAATGACAGTAGTCTGAAGTTGGTTGCAGTTTTTTCATCTCATCCTGTATATCAAGTGGACTTATTTTTTGCTAATTATTTAGAATTTAATAAAATATATTAATTAGTTTTTATTTCTTCTTTTTCAGATAATAATTTTGTAATAAGGTAAGTTAATTATGAGCAATTATTCGTTAAAGATATATCAATGTAAGGTTTGAATTGAACGATATTTATGAACTAGAACTTTTGCAATAATATGAGTCTTGTTATGGACAATCCCATTTAAATGGTGCGAAAATTCGGAAATTCTCACTGTTATTAATCGATTGACTAGAGTATGAAATAGACATTTTGCGTGGAAATTTTCTCGACTTTAAAAATAAAAATTAATGTAAGTACTCATGTACTTTAAAATACTAGCAGCGAGCACCTGCTTCGTCAGCAAAACGCTCTACCTTAAAATTTTAGATACGTTCCAACAGTTCGTGTTAGGCCTTTTTGGTAACTCAAAATGCACAATTTTCAATCAAAACTTTTTTCAGACTTTCAAGGTTGAATATGTTGTTCAAGTTATTCCTTTTTCAGAAAGAATAACATGAAAATCTTGCATTTTGAAGTTTTCCGAGAAGTTTATTAGTAAAACCAATGCATAATAGACCAACATCCAATTTTTTCTCTCCAAACCTATTTCAACATCTCAATTTTTTAGACCCTTATAACCATCAGTTATCTCAATATCCAATTTCAGAATTTCAGTTCTATCCCTTCTCCCAATACAAAAATTAAAAACATTTAGTACTTTTCGTATAATTTTAGCACTCATTTGAAAAACCATTCCAAATCTCAACCACAAACACTAACAGTGACATGTATATCAAATTTCAGGATTTCAGCTCTATTACTTGACCCAATTCTAAATTTAGTACTGTTTAGCACTTTTTGTAAAATTATGGCAGAAATGAATAAAAATTTCCGAAACCACCACCAGATTTCAAAACCAGATAGCAACTATAACAAATTTCAGGATTCAATATTCTATTCCTTCGCTCACTACAAAATTCAGTACCATTTCGTACTTTTCGTACAAACCGCCGCCAAAGCTCAACACACAGATAACAATATCCAATTTGAGGATTCCAGCCTTATCCCTTGATTCTATACCATATTTAGTACTATTTTGTATTTTTCGTACAATTATTGTACGCATTTGCAAAACAACCGTCGTATCTGAATGTATAACAAGTAAAAAAGCTGTACCATTTGGTACAAATTTGGCAATTTCCAAAAAAAAAAAAAAAAAATAAATAAATAAATAAATAAAATCCGTTAAAAATTCTGTTAAAATCTTAAAAATACCGAATGCCTATACGACGAAGTGGACCTGCATAGGCAACTTTTGTCATAAGTTATTACAATATTTAATTGCAAAACTTGAAGAAGAATCTGTTTATAATGTAGCTAAAATCATCAAAATACCGAATATCGGGGGGTACAGTTATATGGGGGCTATACGAAGACGTGAACCGGCACAGACAATTTTCTGGCATGGGCTGAAGTATTCATTTCGAACTTCACATGTGAAATTTTAAACAATCCCGGTAAATAATGTCGCTAAAATCATCAAAATATCGAATATAGGGGGGTACGGTATATGGGGGCTATACGAAGACGTGGGCCTACATAGCCCATTTTCTGTTTTATGCTGCAGTATCTATTACGAACTTCAAATACCAAATTTGTAACGATTCCGTTAAATAATGTCGCTAAAATCATCAAAATACCGAATATCGGGGGGTACCGTTATATGGGGGCTATACGAAGAAGTGGACCTGCACAGATAATTTTCTGTCTTAGGCTGTAGTATCCATTACGAACTTTAATTGCTAAACTTGAAACAATTCCGGTTAATATTGTCGCTAAAATCATCAAAATACCGAATATCGGGAGGTACCGTTATATGGGGGCTATATGATAACTTGGACCTACATGGCCCATTTACGAACTTAACCTGCCTACTGGCAAAATATACATGTGTGCAAAACTTTAGCCTTCTATCTCAATTTGTTCGAAAGATAACGTGATTACAACAGGCAGACAGACGGACATGGCTAAATCGTCTTAGAATTTTACGCTGATCAAGAATATATATACTTTGTTGGGTCTGACATGAGTATTTCGAGAAGTTACAAATGGAATGACAAAATTAATATACCCTCCATAGTATGGTGGATGGTATAAAAAGATACCTAAATAACAAATTTCAGGATTCCAGCTATTTCCATTTGTCCAATACCCAATTTAGTACCACTTAGTACTTTTCGAACAATTATGGTACATATTTCCAAAACCATCTCCATATCTCAATTTCAGATACCAACAGAGACATCAACATTAAATTTGAGGATTGACAAAATAATGTACCATTTAGTACTTTTTGTACAATTGTAGTACACATTTCTGAAACCACCGCCATATGTCCAGGCTACACATGAAAAGCGACCCTAATACCGAATTTCAGATTTAAAGCACTATCTGTCCATCTAATATCAAATTGTACCAAATACAGAACTATTTAGTACTTTTCAGGCACTTGTGGTACACATTTTTAAAATCACCTCTTTATCACATACCCACCATCGACCGGGATCTCAAAGCCGGAACTTCGAAATTTCGGATCCATCCGTTCACTATAAACCTGACTGTTCCAAATTTAGTACCATTTAGTACAGTTCGCACACTTAGTATACATTTTGAAATCCACCTTAATTTGGACTTTTTCTTATCCTTAAAATTTGAATTTCCGAAACCTCTTTGGTACATCTATCCAGTCTACTCTATTAGTGACACTTTTTAGTACTTTTCGTAACCTTTTAGTACGAATTTCCAAAAACCCAACCTTATCCCTGCTTAAATACTAAGACTGACCTTCGTTAACATTTTCAAGATTTTAACTTTAACCGTTTCGTCGGGGCGTTGATTCTCAGTATATATAGATGAAATACTTCCGTTGAATAATGTCGCTAAAATTTTCAAAATGCCGAATATTGCGAGCTGCCATTATATGGGGAAATATTTCAAATTTGCAACAATTCTGGTGGAAAGGCCGATACAAAGTATTGAAATACCGAATATTTGAAGGAACAGGTATATGGGGACCATACCAAAATTTGGACCTATATTGACTGTTCTAATCCTGAAACTAAACATAAATCTGAGTAAAATTTTATCAACTTTTTTCATTTCGTTCGGAAAGTAGAGAAACTTCCAGGTGTCCACGTTTACAAATCCTTTGTAAGATTTTAAACCCCATGATTAGGAAAATTTTGGCAAATTAAAAATATGTAAAAAATAGAATCCGTTAAAAAATCTGTTTAAATCTGTAAAATACCGAATATGGGGAGTTACCGTCCACGAAGACGTGGATTTGCATAACCAATTTTCTGTCACAGGTTTTAGTCCGTATTGGGAACTTTAAATACGAAATTTGAAACAATTCCGGAGAATAATGTAGCTAAAATTATCAAAATACTGAATTACGGAGATACCTTTATATGGGGCCTATACGATGACCTGGACCTGTTTTATCTCCCAAACTTAAATTTCTTTAATTTTTCTTAATTACCGTCATCGATCATTAATTTAATTTACTTCCTCGTGTTTTCTTGTTGTTGCTACTTTTTTTTAGACTACAATTAATTTCATAAATAACTTCCTCATGTCAAATGCCAGGATAAATTGTAAAAAACGGAATAAATTATTTTCTCCCCAAACTCTCCCGAAATGAGGAAACATTACTGCACTAAATGACATTTGATCCTATAAATCACTTGAAGCTTTATTAATTCTTTGTTTTTTTTTTTTCAATTTTCAATTTATTTTTAACAAAAAAAAGGAGAAAGAAAAAACAAACAGCTGCTGTTTTTGGATTGGATGAGGCAACTACAATGAGCATTTAAATTAATTATATCAGCGCAAGGAGAAGAAGCGTTCTGGGGGGTTACTTTGCTTTATTAGCTGTCAATTTTGAATGTTTGCAATGTTGACGGCCTCTTTGCTTTGACTTTGAAAATTGCCAACCATTTTGGGTGCAGTGCGTCAATAACTGCAAATTCGGATGAAAACAAAGCATTGAAGAGATTGAATTTTGTTGTTTTGAAATGATGATGATGATTAAATGCAAAATAAGTATGTCTTGTTGTGAATACCGAAGAAGATTAAAGACGGGTGGTTTTTATTTTGGTTTTGGGGGAATGTCATTGGCTTTTCTTTTTATTTAATTTTTGTTTTTTTTTGTTATTTAGAATTGCTTCTTTTTTATTAAAATATTTTAATTACTTAGCCCCACAAACATATGTTTGGTAATTAAGCGTATAATATCTGACAGTGACCAGACAATGACATATTGCGTTCTTCGTTGATCCAAAATTGCAAATGGAAATTTATTTTTTTTTTCAAATTATTCAATGGAAGGAGGATCTTAAGATATTAAATTTTTGGTTAAAATGTTCCAAATTGCAAGATCAATGACTTCTCCAAACATTTAATAATTCAACCATGGCAATATTTTCAATTTTTTTTATTTAGAGGTCCAAGTACTTGAAATGCTTCAGGGAATGTGTGGCATACTGCAGCAGCAATATTTTTGGAAGAAAATGGAAAATTAATATGGAATAAAGATGAGTATGACTTATAAAATCATAAAAATTCATCATACGTTACATGGTCCCCCAATTAATAATAGTTATACGCCCCATATGTCCATTGACATTGAATCTGCATTAAATCAGTTCTAATACAAATTTCTCCCATTTTTTGCAAATATTTCCTTCTACTTTTTTTTTTTCATATAAATTTTCTCAATTGCAAGCCAAAAAAAAGTAAGGAAAAGTCAAAAGTCGGGCAGTGCCGAATTAATGAATTTCAAGTAGATCATACCACCTATCAACATTTAACTTTAGAGCTGTTATAATTTGCTATAAAGTGCATGATATTACTTGGAGAAGAATTATATATAAAAAAATATATATATCGGAGCCGAGTTGCAAAAAATAGAAACGTACGTTCCGAAAACAATTAGAAACGTACGTCACTCCATTTGGGCTGTTATTAGCTATTATTTGCACAATAAACTTGAAATCGGATTAAGGATATATATGTGAGGAACT